TTTTCTGCCGACAGCAGCCACTAAAACAGTCAAATCGGCAACGAGAAAAATAAAATGGACACCATGGTAACCCGCAGACAGCGCCAGTCCATTAGCTCATTGCCAGAGCAATTGGCCAGGCCGACAGCTGCAATTCATCTGCCTTGTGGCAGACTGCGCCAGGGTGACGATCAGTCACATCAGACAGAAAAATAAGGGACCGCATCCGTGGTACTCAGCTGACAGCGACCACGCGGGGCCACTGGACTTCCGAACGATGAACTGAAAATTGTGCTAAAAAAACTTGCCACTGGGAGCAGATTGAAGACAGTAGTGTCGAATCGAAGCAAACTGTGGACGCCTGCAGACTGCTGCCACCAACGAGGCCACTCCGTGGACGACATCACACAGGCCAAGGAAAACACTTGGATGCACCGCAACCATGGGAACTCAGGCCGACAGCTGCCACGAGCACCTGTAACCCCTCGTACCGAGCACAGGGTGTGGTGGGTGGGACAAAAAGAATCTTGCGAATCAGCGACCCTGATTCACACGGAGCGACACTCCTTTTTGGCTTGAGCCTCAAGCTGAAAGGAGTGAGTGAACTGAATGACATCAAATAATTCCTCATCACCGACCCTGCCTACCTTGAATGAATGAATATATTCGGCTGCATCAGTTACACTTGACTTGATGTGTGACGAGTCGGACTCGGTTCATTTCTTTTTCGCACGAACTTCAAAAGTCTTGTTCAAAAGTGCTTTGGTTAATGTGACCCTGTCACAGCAGCCCACGCTGCGCGCACCCCTGGTGCATACCTCTGCCAGGTATTCGTTCCCAATGCATTCTAACATACCCAAAGCACTCAGAAGAACTGGAACACACGATTTATAATGACATATGGTAGGCGGAGTAGGAGGTGAGGTACTGGAACGCGATGTACACGGAAGCCATGAGCCTGATACCATTTATCGTGAATCCCTTGCCTGCTAATACCATCAGACCAATTGTCTGCGGATTGGACCCATTCAAAATAACACCCACTGCGCAGTCAATATAGGAGGGCATGGATGCATCCTGCCATAGTGTCCGGCTCCGGGTTATCACTCCTGCCCTTGACTAGGGCCATCAGCGCAGCAATGTTGTCTACAAACCAGAGCCCCTGACAGGAGCGGGCCTGGCTGGCCACGAAGATGAAGCCAACATAGACTGTAAGAAGCTCCAGCTGGGCGATCTTAGTGGGGTGCTCGGACCACAGGGTGAAGAGCTCCGCCGTAATGTCAACGACATAGGCATCTCGTTCGCCTTGGGGTCCAACAAATAATAGGCCCGCTGAACCTTGCCGAGGCTCGTCTTGGGCCGTAATGTCAACGCGAATCTTGCGAATCAGCGACCCTGATTCACACGGAGCGACACTCCTTTTTGGCTTGAGCCTCAAGCTGAAAGGAGTGAGTGACATCAAATAATTCCTCATCACCGACCCTGCCTACCTTGAATGAATGAATAATAAACATTTTTTAATGCTGTTCTTGAGAATCAACCTCATAGTCAGATTCTGTCTAGTAGCCACATCTTAGAGGACGATATAATATAGGTTGCCAAAACAACATAAGGACAGGCAACGGCTTCTGCGCGGACGACCCGGAAAGGCAATTTGGTCAGATCACTGATCACAATGGCTTGTCAGGATGCGACGTCGAAAAGAAGAGCAACAGTCGGGTCTGGAAATATGCGCTTTTCTTCCAATCCGAGTCTGCAACGGCAGGCCTAACGGATTCGCACTCAAAAATACCGCAGCTGCAGAGGGCAGCCGTGGGTTGTTTGCGGGGTGGGCGCGGCATCAATGGAAGCAGTGGGCGAAGGCAATGTCATACGAAGAGCGACGGCCACAGATGGCACGGAACTTCCAGACAATGACTCCGAAGGCACAGCAGACAATGGAGCATCAACAGGCGAAAGACAAGACGAACTCCTCGGAATGGAAGGTGGCACAGCCATGGAACCAATCACGGGAACAGCCAACGACGGCAGATGAAACGACCAATTCTCCAAAGGCACTCGGTGCAGTGCTGCAGTAGCCAGGTCTGAGCGTGGCAGTGTAAATATTCCAACGGAAATATGATGAAAACAGCCCCAGTTGGATCTGCGTCGCCACCAGCGGAAGCAAGCTGGCCGAGACCAACATCCACGCAGAGCTGCCATCACCGGGCAAGCTGGAAAATAACAACAGCGGCTGGTTGGGCCCAAGCCCGCTTGAAGTCCAAGTCACACATGCAACAAGACTCAACTGACAAGACCTTCTCTGGAGAACCCCGCGCAACCCGCAAGAAAAAGGCTTCATCGGCTGAACGCTGCGCGACACGCGGGGGCAGCCAGCTCTGTTCTTCAACGTTGACAAACAAAATTGCATCAGCTGCTGCGCTGTCTCCAAGCTCAAGCTCTTCTGTATCTTGCCGTTTTCCTGTGCCTCGTCTTCTACTTGTGTCTTCCATGGCTGGTTCAATAACTAACCCACTGCCAACATTGAATGAGTACGCGCATGTGTTGTAGATGTTGCTTTGTGCTGTTATGCGTGTTATGCTGTTTCTTGCGCTAGTCATGCATGCACCCCAGTCCTGGTGCCCACAAAGCTGCTACAACCAACATATAAAAAAGCAAACTCAAGCTTTCCAAAGCAATGAGCTAAGACCTTATCTGTGTAAAATAACCTTTTGTAACATTCAAGGTCATCCAAGTTTGGTTGAAAACCATAAAGTTAACTTTTCAATGCGCAAAACAATACCTGGTGTATGTCAAGCACACACATTGTACGGTTTGGAGGAATATGTGTAATACATGGTTTAAAATAAGCTTCAGTAGTCGCTCAATTCTTTTTATACGTTCGACCGTGGGCTTAGATTATTGGATAAGTCAAGTGCTTTGATTTGTATTGTGAATTCTTTTGTATCAAAAGAAAAATCAGACACTTACCAGAAATACTCGTGAAATGTTCTTTGCAACCAACAAAAACAAATCCCAGTGCTCATATTGACGGCGCAAATGCAATATCCTCTATCTATGCTTCCAAAAGCAGGAGTTTGAAATAGAAAAGAGCGCCAAGACATCAATCTAGATATTGGCAAGCGTTAGATTGAAAATTGACCAAAACCATTCTGGAAAGGGTTCTCCCCATCAAGCCACCAAACCCCAAATATAATTCTTAAATATAGCTAATGACTTTTCCTGAAGCCACCAAACCCTAAATAGAGTTTACCCTATAAAGCTAAAAAAATTTGTTCGTTGAAAAAAGAAACGATTGAATGTGTGCTTAACTAGTTCTTTTCTTCCGTTGTTAACAGGTTGCTTCTTTGGATTCCTTCTCAACTAAATATATCCGTTATCATGAATTTATATACTATTGGTTTAATTAACATCACTGTCCCAGTTTAATTCTAATTCAAGTCTGATTCCGCTTCAATTCAAATTCAATTAACTTAAATTGGAAATCAATTGAATTTAGATTCAAATTTGAATTCTGATTCAATTTAACATCAATTCTAATTTGAACGCTAACGCCCTAATATTTTGATATTCATGTCAATAAGGGATCATTTCATTTCTAACTTAAATTTTCGTCCCTTTCATTTTAACCTTTGTTTTAGTAAGGGATCACTTCATTTCTGATATAACTTCTTTCTTGGAGCCTGGGATGAACTTTATTTTGGGTAAACAAAAAATCAAGATTTGCCACACCCGTCTATTGATCAGAGGTCAACATTATATAATTTGTTTGACTCTCGCTGGGGTATGTGGACAAGCCGTGCGAGGTCGACACGGCTAACGCTATCCAGGCACGGCTATAGGGCCCCACACCTTCATCATCGGCAGTTGCGGCATCGTCGTCATGCCCGAGGACATCCGATGGAGGACTGAAAGAATGCCGAATTCTAGCACATGGCAGGCGGCAGGCGAACAAGCCCAATCTCCCGTGTCACGTCGGAGCCGAAAAGTTTTTGCGCTGGCCCACAGTTGGGGCCTTGATGAAGTTCTCCTATCAGCTTCCGACTGTCCCGGCATCGGCCGTCAAAGAGAAAATGAAATTCAGCTTCTCGCGGTCCCAGGCCACCAATGGCGGCCAATCACAGTTTGTACTTCTGAAGGCCATCTTTCAGCACTTTTGAGACAAACCATGAAGGGTCGCCTTCTGCAATCAAGCCGGCGGACAGGAAAACCCCACGGTGCTTCTCACTTAGCATCATATCTGTCAAAGTGTTGAAACTAGGTACCCCATATCTACCAAAGTCATTAAACCAGGATTCGGTTCTAAGACCTCAGATATGCACAAAAATACACTTGCAGGTGAGGCCATAAACCTTGTGAGGTTGGGGCTGGGGTCTCACAAGTGACGGGCCGTCACCGGGCCCAACGGGCTCTCGCCTTCCACAGCGGGACTTCTGCGGGCCCGGCCCCAGTGGGTAGCGTGCCCAGGATGTCCTGGATGCATTGATTACTCCCCCTAATAGTCCCATCCCACATCATCGTTTTTCGGGCACGAAACGAGCGCCAACTGCACCAGGAGACGTGCATTGGAAAACATCAAGTCCCCGATCTGACGGGTGAAGTGGCTCGGGTCCGTTCCTGAGCGCTGATTTTTGCATCGCGCAAACATGAAAATCCAACCCTATTCATTCTTTTTTTCCCGCTCTTCCATCTACAACACTCCAGTCTCCACTGCCTATACTCAAGTGGTTCTTGAGGGTGGCAATCGCATTGTCCAAGTCTAAGCATGTTGGACTACCAACTGACCACAACATGTTCAGGGTCCCCATCAAACAGAGTTGCAACAAAAGAATTCTGGCCGCTTGACTGAGTAGTTTGATCAACGACTGCAGTCGGGCATCCGGGGAACTGAACTCAACATGAGCTTGAGACCTATTGATCCTGATCAACCACCTGCAGTGGCCTACAGCAGTAGCTCCGCGACGGACAGGTCCATTCACCCCGATCTGGCCAATCAATCTGTCTCCTGCATGCCCAGCATCTCATGGTGACGCTACCCACGGAGCAGTCAGAGACATAGCCCGGCTCTCGAATTCGAAGATCATACATGGCAGCCATCAAAGAGAAGGCCATTTCACCTCACTTCAACAAGAAATCATCGAAGACTAAACACACGAACTTGTATCCACAAATTAAGTGAGGAAACCACGGCAGCATCATTCATAGTGGAGAGGCAAACATCAGTGTTAATCCTTTGTAAAAGCTTTGTGAGTGACAACTTTTCTCTGCAAACAGGTGTTGTTCTACTTCCATGGCGGCTATGAAGGAATATAGAGGTGCAAATGCAAAAGCAACTCAACACTGAAATCAAAAGCATGCAACAACTCATATTGACTGGGCTTGCCCAACTGATCAGCGGAAAGCTGGGAGCGTGGATTCCAAAACGTAGGGCAGCTACCGTCAGGGGCTCACTCTTCCCTGCCATGCGGTGAATTTCGAACTTCATGTCACAGAATCAGGGTCATAAGGTGGCCATCATCAGTTTGGACAATCGATGACGTTTGGTATTGACACCAAATCATCAAACATCGCATCATGAATTGGGGCCCCAAACAAAGAGAAGAAAACAACGTGTGTCTTCAGCCTGCGCAATCTTTGCAAACTGGCAGCCACAAGTACCTCTCAATGCAGCAACTCTGGGGCAAATCTTGTGCAAATTGGACTGCTTTCCCACGTGCCAAGCATGGTGCAGAGCAATCCCCTTCTTACATCACCCATGGTGGTCCACACAACTGGTTGCATCTGCCTGCTGATAGCAATCTTGAGTATATAGGGAGGCCATCGCTACGAACGGAGCAAGGACGCTAGTAGGTTACAGTTATATACATCCTGGGTAGCAATTTTGCCGAGGTGATGGTGTCAAACATAGAAACAAGAAGCTACTAGGGGCTCCTGGCCTTACTACTAGGGGCAAGGACGCTACTAGGGGCTCCTGGCATCACTACTGGGAGCATTCTTACTACTATGAACGGCAGTTGAGCCATGCTACATTGGTCAAAAATGCTTTCGGCTTTGCACGTTCGGGTTCTGTCCCGTTGCCCGTCGCCCGGTCACTTGATCAACTCCTTCAGAGAGCCAAAGCACTCCGAATGCCTAGTGACACTCAAGGAAGCGATGTCTCCAAACAATGCACCAAAAGGAAGCGACACATGGAAAGAACAGAGAAATGATAAGCGACACATGGAAAGAACAGAGACATGATAAGCTGGATTCATCTTCCTTCTGTGCTACCTATATATCTACTACGTACGCAACATGCACACTTCATGTATCACAACTGCCAAGTGTCAAATAGTGGCTGTAGGACACACCCACATCCACAGCCAAAGGAATAGCTGCCTTTGTGATACTTGCGCCAGCCTCAATGCGGGCTACAACCAGCCACACGACTACACATCAATGGCTGTTGCGTGGCCGAGCTCCAAACGCTCCATCCCATCATCACGTACTTGAAGCCATGTGGCTCTGGCACCCACGGCCCTGCGACCGAAGCCCGCTGCCCGGCATTTACTCGAAACCTTCAACAAAAACATCTCAATCACTGCCTCACTGCCACTCTTCAGCCTGCCATCTCTGTCGTTCTCTCTCCGCGCGCGGCGTAGCGCCGGTACCCACCGACCCCGTACCCACGTCCCGTCCCGTCTCCCGTCGAGAACGGTCTACGCCTGGGACGGAGTTGTCCGCGTCAATGGCAAAGGTGATGCTCAAACCTGGCAAACGTGGACGGTCGTGGAGGGCCGGTCGCGGAAGTCCAAGCGGGCGAAGAGGAGTCGGTCGCGAAAGCGAAGGTGGAAGCTGAGATCTGGGAGTTTGCGGTAAAGAAGCTTTGGGTTAAAATCTGGAAGCAACAGCATGAAGACATCATGAAACAACAAAATTGATAATTACAAGGGGAATTTGGACTCCGACCTTAGGGGCTTTTGGATCGAATGGGCAGCCATAACGGAAGTCAGAAGAGTCCAACGCTCATCCATTGGAGTCGCTCGGTCGCGGGCAGCGACCACAGACGCACTGCCACTAGAAATCATTATCACCCAAAGAGAGACATGAACATGGGATGTGTTTGTTTCTTCCTTTTTCGGGGGGATTCTTCTTCAATCAATCCCAACATATCCAAAGCACAGCAGCATGGCTTGTACAGAGGCTTCCTCCTTAATCTACTGAATTCAGCAATTCCTCTCACGTCAAATTTACACTGACGAGGAGCCTCTCCGACCACACCTGGACCTGGACCTTCGCCCGCCCCCAGCCTGCATTGAGTCCGAGGAAGGAGGGAGTGAGGCTGGCTGCAGTGAAGATACCTGGCAATGAAGCTCTTATTCTCCATAAGGCTGTTCACTTTGAGGTGTTGGCTCAAACTTCACGCAGTTAGTAGTTGGATGTAGTTGGTTGGAAACAAACAGCTGGTTAGCCTTGCTTTGGGACAAACCTACGGATAAATGTAGGTTGGCTGGTAGAGGGATTATGCACTCACACTCTGGCTGGCCATAAGCCCCTATAGGTAGCGTTCTTGCTGACCCAGTTCCACCGATCCCAAGGCGAATCCGTCGGACGAATCCGTCCCAAGACGAATCGGGCAAGCGAGATCCGTCGGAGGGCGCCTGTGATGTGAGCCTCCTGTAAGGTCCAGTTCTCTTTGTAGCCTCCGGGAACCAAAATGAAGCCAAAGCATCGGTGCAGGACAGTTGTCCGTCGCTGGAATTGCCCATGCCTTTCTTTATCCTGATCACAGCCCGTAACCAACACAGCAGATCACAGTTAGTCCTCTGAAGAAAGACACGCAAACAGGTTCTCCAAGAGCCTTCCACCATCCATTCTGACCCTATACAGTACATTGACCTTCCCGTGAATCGTCTCAACTCTGCAGCTTCCAGCCCCGTGTCCCTGGCACCTTTCCAGCCGATGCCAGCGTAGCCACCCAGACCCATGCCACCCACGGAGGGTCCAAAGAAGCCAGCGCCCCACCTGAGACGTGGACGACGCCTATCGTTTTTCTCCCCAGTGTGGCGAATATAGAGCACCCGGTGGTGACTACACTCACTAAAAGAATCATGGAAGTTGAACACATGCCCCTGGAAGACCACTTCTCTACAAACAGGTGCCATGGAGGGAATCTGTTCCTGTGGATCATGGTCAGTGAGGGCCTCGACAAAAATAACTATGAAGGCAGGATGCGAAAGGTTTCCATGTTTGTTCTTTTCCAATTTAAGGGTCAGGGGTAGCCATCAAGGAATCTGATTACAGCAGTAGAGAGCACGCATCAACAACTACAGCATCCGGATGACCTGGTGACACATGTCAGGCTTTTGGATGACTTGGACACTTGCACCATTCATATGTATATATGAAAGCTTCGGGACTCAGGAAGCCTATGTGTTCCATGGTTGACTACACACCCCCTCGGCCAATTCCAACTTTGAAGCCAACCCTCAAGGCATCGAAGCTCGGGTCATACCCAGCTCAATCCTCAGCCATTCACTCCAAACAAAAAGCCAGAACCGGGCCTGAACTGTCCGATCTCGCGGTTTCGGAAGTCCACCACCTGAAAAAAAATAAGCAAACACAAGGTGGCGGCTTGGTCTCAGGGTTGGTGGATGATCACTAAGTGTTAATGTGTACATGTTCAATGCAAAAACGTTGGGTTGGCCAATTGGCACGTACATGATCGTTGCCTTTTCGGAGTTAATTCAGAAAAA